AAAGGAGGCTATGGTCTCTGCTGTCATCAACCTCCTCGCTCTCAAACTCATCCCGCCTGGGGGTGCCTCCGCTTTCATGTGAAAGCGCACATGACGTCCATGGGCTTTACGTGTTCAAAAAGCGTTTCACTGCGAACGCTGGCTTGTCGAGCAATGGTTTAGCGAACGCCGTTTTAGGGAAACAGCGGTCTAGCGGACGAGTGAAACGACGGTTTAGCGAACGTCAGTAAAATAGCTGTTTAGCGAAATTACTATTCAGTGAAACGACGGTTTTGCAAACGCCGTGTCAGTGAAACGACGGTTTAGCGAACCCTGTTTCTGGAAACGACGGGTTAGCGAAACAACGGGTTAGCAAGCGCCGTTTCAGGGAAATGAAGATTTAGAGAATTTCAGTCGTTGCGTGTCACGATTTTGCCACCTAACGACAAAAAGAAAATACTCGGGGTAGCATGGACGGAAGCCCTAAGACGCATTACCAACTTACAAATGCGATTTCGTCTAGCCAATAATTATCCAAAATAATTCGTTTTGTAGTACAACATGGTAATGGGAAGTCAAGCTCTCGATTCATGAGCAGCTGAAAATATGTACGAGTATGCTTAATTTAGTTTTGTCATTTTGTCGGGTTTGATCGCAAGCATTACTCTATGCATCTTACTCCGTCCTAGTACTAAAGTAGCAATTAGTATCGTTTTGTCTGTGATATTGCTGGAGCAGTACTCACTTACCAGGTCCCACCTTACTACATGTCTCGAATATCGATGTTGAAAATGCCAAAGACAGTGAGAGTATTGGAGACAGAAAGACAGAAAAAGACAGAAAGAAGGATTGTTCAAACAAAACGAAAATAAAACGAGGTTTGCTCGATGCTATTTAAGCCAACCCTTAAAAAAATTAAAGACGTACAACACCCTGTAATGCCGAAGTAAAGCGCAGCTCTTGAGGAGGAGGAAGGGAGGGTATGCCCCTCCTCCTCATCCGTACCCTCTCCTCAACACCCATATAGAGAGCTACCGTGGAGCCAGGCTGGCGCTCGGTAACCCGGCGGCCAGGCGTTTCCGAGTCCGCGGTCGTCGGTCGCTGAAGCTTCTTCGCCTTCTCGGTCGCGTCTGGTGGCGCCTTCGGATTTTGTCGCCGCGGTTGCCGCCATAGAACAACACATCGCCAACAACACGTAGATGTTCTTTTGTCTTTTATGTTCGGCTTTTATTTATTTATTTACTTAGGTATTTATCTTTTTGCTAACGGGTGCTTGTGCGAATGAGCGGACCACTTTTACGTGAATACGTTAGGATTAGTACCCGCACGAGAGGGAAAAGCCGACGCCGGCCGTCTGCGAACAAAAATAGTGGAAAGGGAAGCGCGCCGCGCAGTTACCAAAAGGACAAAGGTGAGGGGAGGTGACGTCACGGGGCGGAAGCCAATGAGCGCGCGCGGGAAACCGGTGAACAGCGAAAGCAGCGTCAGGCAGCGGATGCCGCTGCTAAACGTGCGAGGCGGGCGAACAAGACAGAAGACCGGAAGCTCCGCCTAGATCGGCCGGCCGAAATGCGGCCCATGAAGCGGCAAGCCGACGCGGGTCTGCGTGCGACCGAGGCTGGGGCAAAGCGGGTTTGAAGAGCCCGCTTCGTCGGGAAAAGATTAAGGGAAGATGCATTGGTGGGTCCATAGGGAATGTGTGAGCAGGTCCCTTGGAAAGGACTACACAGGTCCCTCTTTTGGTAACGCTAACAATGACCCCGTAACGAAGCCAAAAACAGAAAAGTGAAGGGGTTAGTTTTGGCGTTTCCCAATGTAGGACGTGTGTGGCTTTCCCCAGGGGTCATGCTAACGCATTCCCTAAGGATCCACCAATGGAGCTTCCTGTAATTTTGTCAGCAGTCCCTTCGTCTTGTGTCTGCTTTCATTTTGCTTCCGACACCACAATTGTAGAATGCCCGAGCTCCTTTTTCGCCTTTCTCTGTCCATTTTGTTGGGCAAGAGCGCAGAAACGATTGCCGTCGCTGAGGAAGTCCCGCGTATTTCCTGCCATCTGGAGGCTTGTTTTCTTTTCTATTGCTATTTTTTCGACTGGAATTGAGTTCCTTAACATGTATCGTGTAGTAATGTTTGCGAAGTGTTTGCAGTTCATTTTTTTTTTCGTTGCTCTAACTCGTGGGCGACGCCTGTCGATATGCGCGAGCACTCGCCACGGAGCACATATGAAGTGAATGAAGTGTAGTTTCTGGAGCGTACTTGCTTTCCCGAGCAGCTCCCGGTAGGGAGCGAGGGGAAGGGAGTGAGCTCGGCATTTTTCCGTGCCCCTACCGGGGAATTTCAGCGGAAAGAGGGAGGAGGAGGAAACAAGTCCCCCCCCCCGCCCCGTCGGCGCTATGCGGGGTTCAACTTTCTGTGTCGTTTCGAAACCGAGTATGCCCGCGCAAAACGCAGAAGGTCGGCTAGTGCCTGGGCGCTAATAGCGTTGGCATATTTGCCACAGAAAGTGATCCCACAATCCGACTACCTCGCTAAAAAAAAAAAAAATGAATTAAAATATTTTAGGCAATTAAAATAGTCGTTCGAACTTAGCGAGTCGGTTAACTTCTTTGAGCGCGTTTGCCCTTTTTGCGCAGGTACACTGCGGGAAAGTGACAGAGGCGGAAAAGACCTTTTGTCGGAAGGGAGTGCATTCCTGTGTTGCCTATTCGAACTGTCACATTTTAAAGTCTGTATTTCTTGTTGTTGTTGTTTTTTGCGTGCACCACGGTTCTTAACTAATTAACCCGCAGCAGTATGTCGTCCTAAAAACTCTCGCTCCCCCAACTGGGGGCGAAGAAAAAAAAAAAATTAGCGGAGGACAGCTGACGAAGAACAGACGTGTGACATGACCATGCTTTTGCGTTGCGTTCAGCGCTTGATGTTTCGTACGTCTTTAGTCGCGAAGAGACAGCGAATAAAAGTGGCTCTGTACTTTCTTACTTTGATCATGCTTCTTTATTTTTATTTTTTATTTACTTCTTTGTTTCTTTTTTGTCCAGGGATGCGTCCGTTACACTACGCCGCATGGCAGGGCAAACCGGAGCCGGTGGAACTTTTGCTCGAGTATAACTCGTCAGTCAACGAAGGCGCCAACTCGGGCGACACGCCGCTCCACCTGGCGGCAAGACACGGTCACGTCCAAGTCGTAAGTACTCTCGTGTGTATTAAGGCCGCGTCCTGCTGCCTATTTATTTATTTATTTATTTGAAAATGCTGCGACCTTACATAGGGCCAATGGAGAAGCGGAAAGGAAACCATACAACAAGGCAAACAAGTGAAACATCAAGTACATTCAGTATAGTGTAAGAGGAACAGTAATCTACCAGAGGGTCCAAAGAAGGCAAAACTTCCAAATCCGCTCTTCACATTCATTACACTTTTGAAATACGACAAACAAAACCGTTCGAAAAACAACCCATTGAACTTTCAATATAAATATCTCAAGTTCAAGTAAACGAAATGCTGGACCAATTTTCGATAGTTCTAGGAAAGAAGGAATATTTCGAAACAATTAAGGGGACGTTTATACGGTGCAATATATTTGAAGGACGAAAACTTCGCGTACGTTACATCACCTGACCTGACGTCGCATGACGTCAGGTCGCGTGGCACCGTCACATTGCGTCACGCGACTGCGTCATGTGACCTCGGGTCAGGTGGCGTCAGTTTCCCCGCTAAATTTTGCGGGGCAATTTATGCCCGTGAAGTCAAGGTATCACGTGACAGCACGACTAGAAACTGTGACGTCCATTTTCCCCGAAAAACTTTAGCGAGGAAATTGCTGTCACGTGATACGACGACATCATGCGATCAGACTAACACGAGCAGAAAAGTCCCGTGGAGGGTGCCCACGTATAAAACTATCGTTTAAAAAAAAAAAAAAAAAAAAGGAAATGAAAGACGTTTACAAATCTCTGTATAATGCGAAATTAGAGCGCAGCTCTTGAAAAGGAGGAGGGGATGGTACGGAGTGGAAGGTATGCCCCTTCTCCTCCTCCATCCCCTCCTCCTCGAATTCAGTTTCTCCGCTAGATTTAGCGGGGAAAATGACGTCACATGACTTGGTGTCACGTCACCTATGAACAAATTCAGTTTCTCCGCTAGATTTAGCGGGAAAATTGACGTTACGTGACCTCGATTGGTGTTGAGGTCAAGTCAAGTTTCCCGCTAAATCTAGCGGAGAAACTGAATTTTCCCGCTAAACATAGCGGGGAAATTGAAATGGTGTTGAGGTCATGTGACGTAGTTTTCCCGCTAAATTTAGCGCGGTTACGCCGACCCCGACGCCGCGAAACACGGAAACAGACGCCTAAGAGCTGATCTCTTAAATGTTGCAATAGCGAGGTGAGCTTTGACGTGTCGGCGAACAGCGTCTGTTGTTTGCCGCTGTTGCGAGGTCGAACACCTGACTACTGTGGTTGCCTGGACTCGGATAAGCGGGGCTGTTCGAGCGCCGTTCCCCTGCGCAGGTGGAGAGGCTACTTCGATACCACGCCAACCCTCTCCTTCGCAACAAGGAGTACAGGACACCGCTGGACCTGGCGTGCGAATTCGGCCGACACAAGGTGAGCACCGTACACTATAGTACCGTATGGTATATAGCACGCTGTGAGTAACGCTCTCATGCCCACGCGTGCGCACTCGCGGCGTGGAGTGAGTTCGTTCCGGTCGGCACTCCTCCACGAGTGGCTGACACTTTCTGAGTTCGTTTCACCGTGTCGCGGCGTGCATGCACTCGCTGGACCGAGAGAATCGAGCGTGCGCCAGGATGCAATCCCGTCGTGCATCGCTCAGGCGAGACAGGCGAGGTGGGAGAGCAGACGACGGGGAATCGTCTGCTACTGTTTTGTTACAAACTGCCAATCGCACAAAAAAAAAAAAAAGTGTTTTTTTTTTTTTTTTTGTTAGAAATTGTTTTTGCAAGAGACGGGATCGAACGCGAGCTTGAATTGTGACTTTCTGCTCTTCCATGCGGAAAACAATCGACAACCCATCCTTTCGCAAGTTTTGAGTCGTTTGACGTACAGTCGCTGAAAATCTATCGACCAGTAAAATGGCTCGGGACAAACGTGTCGGCGGCTGCGAGATCTCTCTCACTGGTGTACGGGTGAAAAGTTATCGACCAAGATATGGCCGATTGTGGACTCACGAAGTGAACCTTTGTCCAGAAAGTTCGCCCAGCAGAACCTGAGATGCGTCCAATCAGCAGCCGAGAAAGCTAAACGTGCACGTGATTTTGACCAACGCTTGGGTAAAATCACCTTGTTTAACATTTAGCTACATCAGTTACTTCCCTCTTTTTTTTATTCGTTTCTTTTTTTGTTCGTTCGAGAAAGCCTTCGATTTCACCGCTCTCATTTTAAGTAAAAGCTGCTGTCAAGGATCCTAATCGAAGGTGCCGCGAAGCGTATCGCTGGAAATTCCAAGGGACTAGTTTGAAAACCGTATCCTTTCAATTGTTCACGCTTATCAAGCTTCTGCGCGAGTTGTATCAACGATGTTTTTCCAGCGTAAACATGTTAGGAGACTGGAAAGATTGCTCACTTTTTGTTATTTCTCACAGTTGCTTTGTAGTCACCTTGTGGCGGAAAACATACGTCGTCCGTAAAATATCTCCACGACAATCGAGTTCTTCAAGTCATCGTAAATAGAAACATTGCAGCGATCGCACTGGTTGGAGAGAACTTTATTTTTCGATTCTGTTTCTACTCTCCACTTAGAATTCTGTTTCGCGTTCCCGCCTGTCATGTGGAACAGCAGGGCGCTATTTTCGGTTTGAGGTCGGTACTCTTGCGATAACGTATAGACCGCGACATCATCAGTTTGCTCTCGGCAAGTTCGTTCGGGACCGGTTCTTCGTGCAACACTCCGTGAGTGCGATGCATTCTGGGAGATATCTCGCATGGTGCCAGTGCTTGGGAAATGAACTCGCTATAAGTGTGTGTTCACCGACTTGCGACTCTGGGGACTGTGGGCCTTAGAACCGCCTAAATATCTTCAAAAAAAAAAAAAAAAAAAAAACGCGCTGGTGACATTTTGTGCGGTCACGCTGGAAGTGCATGTCACTAGAGCGAAGGTTTTGTGGTTTTTGCGAGATCAAATATTACGTAGTAGCAGTTATGTGAGTTGATCGTCTATAGCATAACAAAAAAAAGAGATGTCTGTAAAAAAAAAAAAGAGTAAATATACGGGACGTTCAAGTGTTCCAAGGCTACCCGACAGGTGGCGCCAGTGAGTACTCTCGTCCAGAGCCGTATATGTATTATGCAGAGAGTTTGGCCATTCGTTGAAAAGTGTAGGAGACAAATGAGGAGGCGTCGATGGCCGAAAGCGGGCTGGGCGTGTTCCAGGGCGTTTTCACAAATTCGAATGTGGCCAACCAGAAGCCGGAAATAATACCCTGGCGGTGGTCGCGAGAAACAAACCTGGTAAGTGTGTCGGAGTAACTCTCGGTGACTGAAAATATGGTGCACGTGATGTTCCAATTATGGTCTTCCAAAATCATGGTGGAAGAGTGTGACTAGCGAAACAATCGACATAATCCGTACGCCAAGCGCCGAGGGCTGGGAATCCGCCGTCCGAGCAGTCACACTCTATCCGAGCAAAACAGAGTTGAGCGGCGCATTCGTTTCTTACATCTTTCTGCATGATCATGATCGAAACATCACGTGAACACTATTTTCAACCATAAAGGGTTGCTACACTTCGCTCCCACACGAGCTTATTAAAACCATATAGCAATTTTCTTTCTTTATTTTTTATTCTTTATTCAAATATTACCCCGCATTGCCCGGAGGCGTTTTGCAGGGGGGTTACAGTTTTGAAAAAAAAAATACATCTTCATTTGTAGAGCACACCTGGTCTTTAAACAGCCTATTCCACTTTGCAATGGTTTTAACAAAAAAATAATTTGCATACATGTTCGTCCTGGCGTGGTACTCTCGGATTTTGAAAGCATGGTCAGTCCGTTTAGAAACATAATGTGGGTGTTTCAAATATACTTCTCTGTTAATGCCAGTTTTATTATTATATATGAGAAATAAAAACTTCAGTCTCAACTTTTCTCGTCGAGAAGAAAGCAGTTCCCAATTCAATTCGCTTTTCATTTTAGTGCAGCTCTCCCTCCGCCCATAACGACCCAGTACAAACCTAGCAGCTCTATTTTGAATTCTTTCCAATTTGTCATTCAAGGTTACGTGCGGAGGGTCCCAGACGGCGCAGGCATATTCTAAAATCGGCCTAACACATGTTAAGTACGCGGTTTTCTTTAATTCGGGTTGTGAACATTTCAAATTCCGTTGAATAAAATTGAGCGCCCTGCCAGCTTTTAGAATGACATCACCAACGTGAGCATTCCAAAAACAGTCGGATGACAGTGTGACACCAAGGTACTTGTAGGTAGTTTCGTTATTTATTAGGGCGTTATCTATCTGATAAGCACTTTCAATTTTTTTCTTTCTCTGGGTAAAACTCAGGTGTACACACTTCTTTGGATTTAAGTTCATCTGCCACTTGGAACACCAAGTATTAATACAATCCAAGTCTCGTTGCAACGTAGCAGCATCTTGTTCGTCCTTAACTTCCCTATACACAACGCAGTCGTCAGCGAACAACCGTATGGAGGAGGAAATTCCCACGGAAATATCGTTTACATAAATCAGAAACAAAAGTGGTCCCAGGACCGAGCCTTGTGGGACTCCTGACGTTACGTTAACGTACTCCGAACTTTTTCCGTTCAAGACAACACATTGACGACGTTGAAATAAATAATTTTCGATCCAGCGGAACACATTTAAGTCTAAGTTTAACGACTCTAGTTTACTAAGAAGGAGCGGATGCGACACAGTGTCGAACGCCTTACGGAAGTCTAGAAAAACACAATCCGTTTGCCCTCCATCGTCAATATTGGACGCCAGTTCATGGTAAAATTCTACGAGCTGTGTCGTGCAAGATAGGCCTTTACGAAACCCGTGTTGTTGACTAATTAGTATGCTGTTGTTTGTTATATGTTTCATTATTCCTGTATATAAAACATGTTCAATAATTTTGCATGAGATGGCTGTTAGTGATATTGGCCTGTAGTTTGAAACCTCTTTTTTTGAACCACCTTTATGAATAGGGACAACATGGGCGATTTTCCAATCGTCTGGTAGGATACCAGTGGAGAGTGACTTTTCGTAGATTACATAAAGATACAACGAAATAGGTCCGGCACAGCGCTTTAGTATACGGGGAGAAATACCATCAGGGCTATTTGCCTTAGTTTCGTCAATGTTTCTTAAAAGCAACTCGATGCCCCTCACGCTTAGTTCAACTGGCTCCATTAACGGGATGGCACTTGCATGTGCTGGAGGACAGCTGCTATCTTTAGGTAGGAAGGTAGATTGAAAGTAATCATTCAAGCACGTAGCCTTTTCAGTATCGTCTAAGAGGACATGATGGTTGTGCACAATTTCGTTTATTCCTAAGACTTCGGATCCACAGCCTTTTATAAACTTCCAAAAAAGTTTAGGGCTAGTTTTCATCCTGTCGTTAAGTTTTTTAAAGTATCCTTCTTTCGAAATTTTTATGGATAATTTATACTCCTGCGCTAATTCAGACAACTTCTTCAAGTGATTGTTACTTCTACTTTTCTTATACTTGGGAAATGCTCTCCTTCTTTTTTTAATTATCCTTAGGATACGTGAAGTCACCCAGGGTTTTTTCTTTTTTTTCAGTCTAGTAGAATCTATGCTTGGAACATAACGGTTCATAAGTTCAAGCAGCTTGTTCTTAAATACACACCATAATTTATGGACGCCGTAATCCTCAGCTAGGCATTCAAAGACCGGCAAGTGGTCAAGCAGCTGCTGATAAATACTAGTATAGTCGCCTTTCTCGAAGAAAAAAACTTTCCTTGTTGCGCATGTCGTCGGTCGAATGATTCCTGATTTGACGCTTGCAATGACGGCGTTATGATCACTTATTCCTGGTATAATGGTGACGGAATCTATAAGGTTGGGTGAACTGCAAAACAAAAGATCTAATATGTTATTATTATAAGTTGGATCCTTTACATATTGTAACAGTCCATAAGTATCTACGATGTTCTTCATTTCTAGATTAATCCGACTACTAACTTTGCATGAACAAGTGCCATCATTCCATTTCAATTCTGGCAGGTTAAAGTCACCTGAAAGTAAAATAGGGTGCCGAGATGCCTCCGAAACGATTTCAAACAACGACTGTAACGTCTTTAAATCTGAATTCGGTGGCCGATAAAACGTTCCGACGGCGTACGACGAATTGTCAGATAAAATAACTGAGCACCAAATTGACTCGACATCGTCATGATCAATATCTAGCCTGGATGATTTTAGAGAGGAATGAACCTTGCACCAAAACAGTTTCTCGCTCCACCACTAGGGTTGGCCAAGGGAGCATGTCGAGCCCACTTTCTGCGTCTGGCGCACGCCCTGGCTCTGCCCGCGCCTCCCATTGACCAAACTCTCTGTATACACGGCTCTGCTCTCGTCCAGAGCCGTATATTAGGAGAGTTTGGCCAATGGGCGCAGCAAAGGCCGCCGCCAGCGCCGAATACTCCCCCCGCGGTTAGAGCGTAAACCAGGCACGTTGCCAGAGGGGAATCCATGGAGCCCGCTTCCCCCCCCCCCCCCCCTTTCCCCGAAATCCTCCATTTTGCTGGGGCCTCCTCTCCCCCCCTCCCCCTCATACAGCATTTTGTCATGGGCGGGCCCCGCCCCCCCCCCCTTCCCCCCCCCCTTCCCCCCCCCCCCCCCCCCCCAAACCAAATCCTGGCTACGTGCCTGGCGTAGACTAAAGGTGCGGAACTTAGTCGACCAATCAGCAGACCGCGACCTCATAATATTGGAAACGACATTTAAAGCGTGAACCACCCTTTACGCACCGACGTCCTTTTACGCACCGTTAGCAAAAAATCCTGCGCGCATGCCCAGAAACCAGGGTAGCCCAATGCGAATATATCTGCGTTGAGTTGAGTCGGCGTACACAATGGTGCGACATACGTGCATTTTTCTTCAAGAGGTACGAACTTTAACTGTGCGAGATGTAAACCGCGTCGACATTTAGGACATAGCAGGAACGCCAGGAGCACCCACCGCGACGGCCTTTTTCTCTCCCGCTTATATCGTTATCACAATACGCACGTACGCAGTCTATATATATCAGTTACGCCGCTCCGACCGGACAAAGGACTTATACTTATATAAAAGTGCGACTTACATACCAACCTCGTAAAAATGGACGTTATATATATATATATAAAAAAATAAAACAAACGAGACCAACAAAAAAAAAAGGGGGGGGGGGTAGTGAAAGGATGTTTACGTCACATCGTGTTTGCGATTCATTTTCGTCTCAACTCGCTTTATTTTGGCCAATGGGAATTCCCTTATATTGGGTGTTATCAATAGCGTGGCTTCCTTTAAGGTAATTGGGAAAAATCGGCGCCTTCCCGTAGTGATCTGTAACGTTCGCGAATGTTTTTAAAATGTCCATTTTGCCTCCGTGGAATTTTAAGGCGTAGCACAAAACATTATGGTACGACACGTCCGGATTAGTAATTCCCCTTAGATAAATTAACGACGATGAACCATCTTGGAATGCGTTTTGTTATACCAAAGGCACGTTCTTGCGTATACCACAGCGGAACCTCGGCGCAGTTATAATCACTGACAATGTGACAGCGAGGAGCTTCAGGCGTCCTGCCTCATGCGCGAGCTTTCCGCCTTCGACAGTGCTTCCGCGTGCAGCCGAAGCACGACCGAAGGCTCAGAGCGCGTGCTGTAGGTCGTGCGTTCCAAACACACACACTGACTTTCTCGTTCCTTCACTGAATAGAATCGCGATCTTGAAAATTTGGTCGCGACCTCTATGTTCAAATTCCTATTATGATGCATGAAATGCACCACACGGAATTGGTGGGGCAATCGGTGTGTCACGTGACGTGTATTTTCCCGCTAAATTTAGCGGGGAAGCGAAATTAGTATCTGACCACGAGACGAGAATATTCCCGCTAAATTTAGTGGACATCTGAATTGGTGGATGGGTCAGTGACGTGAATTTTCCCGCTACATTTAGCGGGGAAACTGAGCTGACGTATAGGTCACGTGACGTCAATTTCCTTAGGGTGAATTGGTCACGTGACGTCAGGTGACATCACGTGACGCTATTTCCCCACTAAATTTAGCGGAAAATGCGCGGACGAATGGACAGACAAAATTGGGGGGGGGGGGGGGGGTAGCTTAAAAAGCATTTCATGCTTTAACAGCCCTGATCTATATAGCGCTATTTCTTTATAGCGCTATGTAGCGCTATTAATATATAATAAACGAGTAATACTATATACAGCACTGACCCAGGTGGCGCTCTATCAGTGGTGCATCTGAGCTAAGTTTCGTTGGAGTCAGCATTGCATGGGTGCTTTTCCTATATTGATTTAGCGCTGCTAGGTACAGAGGTCACAAACAAAAAAATTTACAGTTTTTTTTTTTTTCACCGCAAAAAATATGCTAGGCATCGCCGAACGCTCATTCTCCGCCCAAAGGTAGCGCTAGAGGTCACAGCCAGATGCCAAAGTTTCAGCCCGATCCGATATCCTTATTCAAAAGTTATATAAGTGATTTTCTAAAAATTTTAATGGGAAAATGGAGCCCATTTGTGTCCGTTTTCGGTTTCTGGTGCCATAGAGCCCCATGTATTCGAAAACTCCGTCGGCCACCATTTTCCCATTGAAATTTTCAGAAAATCACTTAAAACTTTTGATTAAGTTATCGGATCTGGCTGAAACTTCGGCGTCGGGTTGTGACCTCTAGCTCTACCTTTGGGCGGAAAATGAGCGTTCGGCAGTGCCTAGCTTATTTTTGCATAAAAAAAAAAAAACTTTTTTTTTTCTTGTGACATTTTGTATGTGTGAATTGGCCTAAAGTGTCCCATGTGAGTTGTCCTCGAATGAAGTGTCTGAAGCGCGGTGGCAGCCGCATTTTCGCGCTTCCTGCGGTGCACCCGTGCATTACACCCATACTTCGGGGTGTAATGTGTACACCAGCGAGAGAGGGTGCATAGCTATTTCATTGGGGTTGTGTACTAATAATATCTGACACGCGCGGGGGAGTGCGTACACTACACCGTTTTTTCTGAGGGCGCGATCTGCTGCGGCGCAGGCTGTGGAGTTGCTCCTGAGCACCCCCAGGTGTCGCCAGCTGCTCGGGGAGAGCAGACAAGACCAGTTAGACAACGAACGAACCACCTGCCTCCATCTGGCGGCCAGGAACGGACACACCGACATCATCAGGTGAGGAAGAGCAGTAGACAGTCGGGCATAGGAAGTTTTTTCAGTAGGTCCTTCCGATGACTCCGATAACGATACCCGATACTCCGCCCCCGCCTTTGTGCGTGCATCGTATCGTTATCGAGGGTATTGGAGGTATCGGAACGACCTATTAAAACTCTTTTTTATTGGGTATGGCGTGTTTCGGTTCGGAAGCGTCAAAATAGGGAGTTTTTGTAGACCGTGTTTCCCCCTCCGCTAAGCCCTGCGCAATGAAGAAGCCGCCACTGCGCCTGCGCGCCGATAGCCTTGACTGTAGAGTTCCGCGTATCGTAGCGGGTTGCGGAGGGCGTTGCGGGACGGCGAAAACCATCTACGAAAACTCCCTATTACGCACGCATTGTGGTGTCATGGGGTATTGGGAGTTTTTCTAGATCGTTTCCGCCGTCCCACACCGCTCTCCGCAGCTCGCTACGACACCGGGAACTCTACAGTCAAGGCCATGGGCGCGCAGGCGCAGTAGCGGCTTCCTCGTTGCGATGGGCTTAGCGGAGGCGGAAACGCGGTCTACGAAAACTCCGTAATTGTTATGGGAGCTAGCGGAACTATGTACTGAAGACTAAAGGCTGGTTCACACTGTTGAAATCGACTTCGACGGAGTCCGACACAACGGGGTTTTAAGTTGCTTACGACCGCCATTGGTTCTGCGCGGCGCGGTCGTAAGCCGTCAGAAGAGACTTAAAACCCGGTTTTGTCTGCCTCGGTTGTAGTAGGTTGCAACAGTGTGAACCAGAGTCTTGAAAACGTTTCGCCGAGCAGCTGCCTCCGTCCCTTCAATAACAAGAGACATTAGGGAATTGTAGTAGACCGTTTTTCTCCTCCGCTACGGTATCCTTGAAGAAAACGCCGCAGCTGGGCCTGCGCGCCGCCAGCCTTCTCTGCACAGATCAAGGTCTTGTGGCGGATTACGGAGCGCTATCCGGGCGCTTAGCGGGCTGCGGAAACGGTCTACTATACAATTCCCCAGTATTGTTTGGATACGTAAACTCGATCTCTAATGTCTCGCAGGAGGAACTAACAGGCGTTAGCTTTTTACGCCAAAATTACTGCACTAATTGAGTCCCTACTGTCTCTGAAAGAAATGCAAAACTTCGTATGATTCTGTTTCCTTTTCTGGTCCTCGCTTGTCATTAAAGAATAGTAACCGATAATAACCGATTTTGGGGTGTTTAAAGTAAACGCCGATTCCTCCCGCCTGGTTTGATACAGAAATCAACACTCGTATGCAGGACTGGAACCCCTCACTCTATAGTGTAACTTTGTTTTCTTTTTCTTTCTTTCCTTTTTTTTTTTAACGCGAGTTTTCGAGTGTATTTTTATTTCATATATCGGGAACGCAGGCGTTGAAATTCTAGAATAACGAGTAGAATTCTAAAAAAAAAAAGAAAAAAATCCACGTGGTCGGTGTGCTTCGTCGTGCGAGGACGTGCGGTTGTCGCCGCAGGTGCCTCCTGGCGGCCGGTGTGGACATCAATCGGTCGACGCTGCGGGGCACTGCGCTCCACGAGGCCGCTATGCACGGCAAGCTGGAGGTGGTCCGACTTCTCATTCAGGTCAGCCTCGCTACACTTACTACATTTTACTTTTTTTTTCGGCCAAGAAAATCTAGTTGGACTGCTTAAAACCGCAGAGGAAAAAAGTCGAATACAACAAATGCACGCGTTGCTTGAGGAATCCACACAGGTTTATTCATTATCTTCTTCTTCTCACCAGTATAATTATTAGCAGCAGGGGCAGTAATAGTAGCAGTATAGTAGCATTAGTAATGGTAGTTGTAGCTCTTTAATAATGGCAGCAGTAGTCGCCTCAGTAATGATGATAGTGTTGGGAAAAAATAGATTTGTGTATTAGATATGCATACCAAGACTTTTGCGTATCATATTAGGTGATTAAATGTAAGTTATTATACCATATTTTATGTAGAAGTACAGTAGTGTAGTGCATACCAGCATCAGCTGTAAAAGCAAAGGCCTGTTCGCACACATCAGTTTTTTCGAGACCTTGTGCCCTAAAACATCTAAAAAAATATCCAAGGACGAAACAGAGTAGTAGATACTTTATTGAAAAGATAAGGTAACTATGTCGTTGCCCCTTGGTTGAGAACTCACTGGCAAGCTGGCGCCATCTATACGAAGGTACCCTGGCACTTTATTTTGCTAGAAACTAAGGTTTTGAGGTATTTGCGAGATCGGATGTATACGTCCTGTTTATGAGCATTAATGGTTTGTAACAGTGACAAAAAGTTTTTTTTTCGAGCCAAAATAGAGAAATAGTATAATCCTCGAAAGAAAAAAAGGAAATATGCTGATGCTCAAAGTCTTCCACTATCTACCGATAGATGGTGCCAGCGTTTTTTCGCATTAAAATATATCTTAAGAGATTTTAAGGCGCACGATCCTAAGAAGTCTCAAGTATGTGAACAGTAGTTACGGTTTGGTTCATATTAAGAAAATAGAGTTTTAGGGAACCGTTTTTACGCACCCGATATGGTACGATGGGCCCTCCGGTACGAAATGCGTATAGGCGAGTCTTCTCTGGTAGCGCATGAGCAAAAAATGGTTCCCTAAAACCCCCCGACAGCAAGGCATGCCTCTCCCTCAAAGCTCTCTTCACACAGTGGTTGACGGTTTTGCCTTCCGTTCGCCTTCTCTCCAGCGTTTGCTCTGCTAAAGTAGAAAGAGTGGAGGGCTTCTTAAGGAGACGCTTGTCCCGCTATTCCTAACCTGCAACAACCTATAGTAGAATTATTATGCTACTATACGTACTGCTACTCGGCAACTTTAAACTAGATATGATACGTGTTTTGCATTACTAAGTTCTTATCTTTTTTTTTTTTTTTTAACTCGCGTTACCATTTGAGGTTTGGTGTTATCCAACTTCGATGAGAGTCGGACGCTTGCACACCTATGTAGACGAGTGAATGTCTTATACTGCGCAAGGTGAGCCAACTATCGATGTGCGCTTTTCAGTTACTGCAGTGCAACTGATTACCCCTTCATCAAATGGTCGCCGATTTCAAGTATTTAAGCGACATTACTTATTTGTTCCACTTTTAGAAATGAATGTCGCTTTGAGCTTGAAGTGAATGCTGGATTGACCCAGTGCGGATCTTAGGCTATTTGTAATTACAACGACACGATCAGGATGTGGCATTATAGAAGTGTCGTGAAAAGTGTTTAGTCTGTAAATAAACGTGTTATCTTCTTGAAGACTAGTAGCATTATACAAGCATTAGGTCAGTGGCTCTACGCAATAATGATCTGCTGCCGTTAGTAAAATCACAGTGATTCGATATCAAACATATATTTGTCTTCGTGATGGAAAAGGGTATGAAAATGAATAAATTGGAAATGCATTTTTTTTTTCTTTTTTAGAGCGCGCACAGCGCTTGGTGAGGTTTAAGTGTCAATTAAAGGCTGCTCCCACTGTTACAATATTTAAACATTCGCGGTGATAGAACACGTGTATAGAACCTCGGCCCAGACAGGTCTATGTTTCGGCAGTATACCTTTTTTTTTTTTTTTTCTCAAAATCTTGTCAATTCAGGCAGCCCACCAGAGAAATGCCTAAGTTCAAAGCGTTAGTTCGGGCCGAAGTGGCTTTCGTTGGTGAGTCAAATAAACGTCAAGTGCTGTTTTTCCACTGGTTCGCCACATAGTCGCCAAATTGACAGACATGAAACAAAGACGCCACGGGGATACCGAACGGACAGTCAAGCCTATTTCTGGCATTTGCACGGGTATTTCTGCGCAAAGGTGCCATTTAACAACCGAAGAACCGGCCAACCAAGCCTACAACAAGCCTAAAGGCCCGTCGCGCCATAACTTTCATCGCAAAAACGACCATTGCGGAAAAAAAAAAGAAAAAAAAAAAGAAAAATACGACGCTATTTGAGCAGTCGCTACCTGACCCGACTTTTTGCGATGCGATCTATTCGCGGAGCGGCTGAGCCAATCAGCGGCGTCCGGAGCTGGAGTTGTCGAGGAGCGACTCGCCAACCAAGGCGTTGGACTCGCTCATCGCGCACGCCAGTGTGACCAGCTAATTTTTTTTTTTGCGATGCGACTAGATCGCATCATGCAGCGATGGAAGTGCTGCGCCATTTGCGCTAAAACGCGCCATGAACAAAAGTCTGCTACATCTTGCGCCAGAATGACATTTTCGCTCAGAATTGCGCCACACCTGCGCCAAGATGGGCTTAAAGCAAAATATAAAGATATTTTATTATTGGTCGACCCTAATATTCAGAGTAGAAGGAAAGAAAAGTGGTACAAATATCTGTTTCAAGGCGTCTCTGCTCACCATGTACTTTATTTCATCTTAGGCCAGAGCACAGTCGAAGGCTCGAACGGATAGAACCTCGATCAAGCACATCCCCTTGTGCGGCGTCCTGTCACTGTCGATATATTTACAGGATAAATAAACTACTAAATGTGAAATGGGGAGGTAAGGGATGCTCTATTCCAACTAAAGGGTTGCGCTATGCTTTATTTTTCGGCCATTTTTTAGTACCCCCATTCTAAACAGAACCTATAGACGCTTTACAGCAGCTGTGCATGGGCGCCGCCATAACTGACCTGCAGTTTTTGTTCCCTCTTATTCCGTTCGCTTCACTTCGTCATTACCACAGCAGGACAGGTTATTGCCATTTTAGATGCTACTGTGTTCTTGCGCCCAGCATAGGCCCTTGTGAAGACCCGTCAACGCCCGCTTCAGTGGCTCGGCATCTCGGTAAGACAAGAGAAGGGCGGCTATGGCGGCTCAATCTGGCGCGTGTGTAAAGCGTCTATACCCTAACTGACCAGAGCCTCGTTTCTAAAAAGAAGGCTCTGTGTTTCTTTTTCGTCCTGTCTACTTTTATCACCAAAAGCAATAAGTAATACGCTCCAGTATCAAAGAGGAACCGTCAATCATTATCATAGATAAACTTGTGTAGATATGCAATCACTTTTTCATTTTCAAGTGACGTGCTAACAGATGTGGGCATCTGCCAGGCACGTAGCTGCAGGATTTTGTTTCGGGGGGGCTCATCCATGACAAAATGCTGTATGAGGAGGAGGGGGGAGAGGAGATCCCAGCAAAATGGAAAATTTCGGGGGGGGGGGGGGGGGCGGGCCCCCCCGCTTCCCCCCCCCCCCCCCCGAAATCTTCCGTTTTGCTGGGACCTCCCCCCCCCCCCCTCCCCCCCTGGCTACGTGCCTGGCACCTGCTCCAGAAGCGTCAGCGGCTGCTCCAGACGAATATTTACCCTGCCGCAGAACCTGTTACAGAAGGTCAAATGTCGCTTCCATCACTGCGCGGCATCGCAATAAAATTAGATGGTCACACTGGCGTGCGCGATGAGCGAGTCGGTTCTCAAAAACTCTCGCTCCGAACGGCGCTGATTGGCAGCCGCTCCATGACGATAGACCGCATCGGAGAAAGTCGGGTCAGCTAGCGACTGCTCAAATCGCGGCGCTTCTTTTCCGCGATAGTCGCTTTTACGATGAAAGTTATCGCGCGGCTAGATCAGATTCTGGCCCAAAGACGCCCGGTGCGAACTGCAAGCCGAACCAGTCAAACCCAATTCTGGAATTTTCGCGGGTTATGGTTATGGATATGGATGAATATGGTGGCTTAACCTTTTGTATAACCTCTTAGGCTTAACCTTTTAATCACAGTTCTAACAAACCTGGATCTAGCCAAAAAAAAAAAAAAAATTGATTGTTATTGCTTCCCACTCTTCTCACAGTTTTCCCCCACCAGTCCTCCAATCTTCGCTTTGTGATCTCAGCCACTGTGAGGACGCCGCCATCCTCCTGCTGGCCGCGCTAGCCACCATGGTCTCGACTTCCCACTTCATCGATGCACGTCGTCTGCGTCGTCTGCTCCTATCCTGTCGATGGTGTCGGTTCCAACCTCTTCAGCCCCAGTGCAACCGCGTAGTCCACCAGATCTGGTGGCATTGGCGGCCTCAGCTCTCGCCACTCCATTATGACATGTTCGGCTGTCTTCTCCTGCTGGCCGCATAGCTGGCATGTACCGTCCATCCCCGGTGTGTACTTGGACCTCAGGTGGCGTGTCCTCAGCACTCTACTTCGTGCCTCGCACAGCAGCCCACTGCCCCTCGAGTTGTCGACGAATTCCTCGCGCACAATGCTCTTCTTCTCCGCACCGTAGACGGCGAGGGACGGCCGCGCGCCGACCGCGGCGACCCATCTGGTCGTTACTGTCTCCTTCACACGTTCCCGGACCTGTTTCGCCGTCCCCGGGGATTCAACCTCATACAGCAGCACCCGTGGTACGTCATATCGCTCCGTGAGCTTGATCACTTTCTTTACCCAGCGGGTGTTGATGCTTCGAAGGTGGATGTACTTGAACACCTGGTGAGCCCATCGTTGTTCTGGCGAAGTGCATAGACGCCGCTCGAAAATAAGTTTGCTGCTGGCCTCACGAGCTTCAAAGCAGGACCAGCCCAAGTCGCCCTCGACGTACTCACTGGTGGTGTTTCGGTATGTTCCCAGCGCCAGGCGACCCACCTCTCGCTGCCTCACTTCCAGATGTTCTCGTGTACGTGCCGACAGGCACAGTATGGCATTGGCGAAGGTCAGGCCCGGCACCGCCACCATTTTCCAGAGTGCCCGCACCGTCTCGTACCGGCTAAAACTCCACATTCCCCTGCATCCCCCTTGCGTTTGTTTGCCGTGCATGGTCCGCAGCTCGGCTTCATGTTGTTCAAGGTACTTTTGTCCCGACTGCAGCGTCACTCCCAGGTACTTATATTCGGTCCTCCACTCTATCTCCTGGCCCTGAATGTTCACCCTCTGCGACAGCGTAAAGGCATCCTCTGTTGCCTGGGTGTCCCGTTGCTCCACCCCTGCCCCAAGGACTCCAGACTTGCTGGGGTTGAACGTTAGCTGCAGGGTGGTTTCCTCTTCTCCACAGGTGTCCAGTAATTTCTGAAGCTCCTCCAAGGACCCCGCCATAAGCACCACGTCATCCGCATAGATCAAGGCAGGGATCCTCTGATCTACTTGCCTCCCCTCTTCACCATAGCACATTTTGAAACCTAACCGACTGTCCTCCAGTGCTTTCTCCAGCCTTGCAATGTACAACATGAACAGAGGTGGTGAAAGCGGGCACCCCTGTCTCAGTCCCTTTGTGGCCTTTATGGGCTCGGTGAATTCCGCCCCCCACTGAACCATGCAAGGCCCGAAGTTGCCAGATGACAACCCAACAAAACCGGACAGTGAAGCCTAATTTTTGCACATGTTTGCCATTTTAGGGCTGCAGACTTTGGCCAAAATAATATCAAGTTTGCCAGGCAGGTTTTGTGCGGTGAGGCGCGATGAGAACAATGGGCCCACGGCCAACGATCAACATCGGTCGCGTTCGTCTATCTAACTAAATCATCTCTGATCATATAAACAAAGAAGTAGCTGACGTTATTGCCGACGACGAAAGAGTGTACAAAGTTTCTCTATCCTATATATCTACATGCACCCATTGTTATCCCGCACGCCGTGACGACGCCGACGAAACGATCCGAGCTTTGGTGTGTTTTGGTTTCTGCGGCTACTTCCTAGACTGTTAGCAGTTTAGTTCTCGCTTATATCGCTCAGCACCTACGCGAGAAAAGTAAAATTGAGGCACGCCCCCCTCCCCGTCTTGCGTGCGCTCCCTTTTTTGCTTGTTCGTTTGTTTGATGTAACTCGCGCGGGATGTTGAAGGAAGCGCGTACAACAGCGAAGGTTTCAGGCGTGGAATAAAAAGTGTGGAAGAGAGAGAGGGGGAGAAACAAGAAAAGGAAACGACGTGGTTGCTCTCGAGGCGGAAGTTGACGGAAATTAGCGCTCCCACGAATCTCCGCCCCGACTCTTGCGGGACGCAGAAACGCTATCATTAAACGGGGATCTGCCCAAGTCTTGCTTAGGGGCTGTTGATCCCCCCGTGCTCTGCCTGCAACACCTTTTCCGAGAGTTGGTTTCTCTTTCAGAAGTTTTTTCTTTATACAATGTTTTTTTTTGTGTGTGTGTGTTTTTGGTGGGGGTGGCGCTCTTGGTGAAATCCAAATGCGAGAGATAACATTTCAAGAGTTGGTATTACGACGCGCCAAGGGCGCAGCAGGCGCCCGGCTGGCGGTGCCAAAAACGCGGGCGATAAGGATATCATCCGCGGTTTTCGAATCGCCAGCTGAGCAAGTTCCTAATTGGAACCATATTTTTATTTTCACGAATTGCAAAGTTGATTAGTAAATCTTTGTCAATTTCTCACGTCGGCCGTGGCTGGCAGCTTGTTCCCGAAATGAGATTCTTCTTCCCTACCACCCCGTTAGTGAGAAGTGTTGACGGCGGGTTTTCCTTTCGCCGGCTCGACAGTGTACGGACAACTTACTTCACATAGATATAGTTCCACAGAGCCATTTGAATAATCGACTTGTGCGTGCTGCCATCTTTGTTCACTGGACCGAGGGGCGCGTTCTGAGTGTGCGCAGTGTAGCTTTCTGCAACTTACAGGGAGTTCCCGAGAAAAGAGAACCTTGTTTTTCGGCCAGGGTAAATAAACTATCCATCGCAGAAAGCTCCAACTCCGCGAGAATCTGATGCTAGTGGTTGGGATAGATTGCGAAAGTTTGAGAACATCGTGCGTTACCTGGATGAAAAGATAATTGAGAAAAACGAAATTTCTCTATACGAGCCGACACCCACCTAAGCCTAATATCGTCTAAACAAGAAATGGCACATAGTGGACGCTTGTAGCATTTATTTCAATAAAAAAAAAAAAAGCTTGATGCCAAGAAACAAGGCAATATCCTCTTTCTTGCTCACAAGTGTATAATATCACGCGTGCGGATTTCAATTTTTTTTATTTCTTTCTGTGTGCCTCGGCAGAGCGGCGTCGACGTGAACAAGCTCAACTCTTCGGAGCAGACGGCCCTGGATTTGGTTCGTTCGTTCTCGAGTTCAAAGGCTGCGAGGGACCTGAAAGTTCTGCTGAAAGGTATATATGTATATGCCGGCTCTCTCGCGTCTTCTCGGCACTCTGTGGTCTCTGTACACTCCGGTCACGTTTGCAAGAGACACGGTGGTTTGCTGCAGACAGGAGGACACAATTGTCCGCAGATACGCCACCTCTTTTGTATGACCAGTGTGGCGGGGCCGTCATCTAGCTGGGCACGTAAAATAACGCAATATATATATATATATATATATATTTTTTTTTTTACAGCGAAGTTTGTAAGGGCTGGTTTCCCCAGGATCGTGTCCGGGACCAAAAAAATGTCGACACCCGTGGTCGGCACATGCCACTGTGGTTGCCGCCGTCGCTCATAGATGGCGGTAGCTGTCCAGAGTGTTGTGTTTCCCGGTTGTCTTAGAGTCACTAAATAAGCTACGCTTTCAGAGTACCGCATTCCTTTTCTTTGGCACTTTGCCGACAATGCAGTCGCTCTATTCAACAATATTCTGGTTTGCTGCAGCATCATTGGGCAATGGCAGTCACGTGACTCGCTATCATCATCATCGCGTTTTTTCAATGGCACCATCTTGTGTCCAGCTATCCGCTGCCTGCTGCTGTTTTACTGTTTACTGCGCGCGCACGCTGAAGTCTGTCGCTCAGCACACACTTTTTCCTTCTTATGTCGAGATACGAACAACACGACCTTGATTCGCTGCCACAGCTGCGGCTACGGCAGCTGGCGCAGGCGACGGCTACAGCTCGGCTTGGCTCAGCTACAGGCGCTCTTCCATCTGCGCATGGACCCAAGATGGCGGCACCTGACGCGCTTCAGATGCGTAGTTTGAGAGTTTCGGTACTCTGAAAGCGTAGCTTTATTTAGTGACTCTAGGTTGTCTGCTTGCCGCCATCGCTGATAGATCGCGGCAACCTCTCCAACTCTCCAACCTTGGCAACCAGACAACTGGTTGCTGCCGTTGCTCATAGATGGCGGCAACATTTCTTCGGAGGAAGAAGAGCGGCAACGGAACGAGCGGCGATGTGCGCGGCAGCGCGAATGGTTCCGCAACCGCCGCGAGGCCGCTATCGCCTCAAGTTCCACTGCGTCAAGCGGTTCAGATTCCCTTGCGAAAGAAGAGCAGATCGCTCGCTTGGAAAGCCAACGCCGAGAACAGAAGCTACAGCTCCGCTGCTCTTCCTTCTTCACAAAAAAAAAAAAAAACTTTTTTTTTTTTAAGCGACGGCGATGGTTGTATATTGCGGTGCGAGAACAAGCGTTCGCATATATATGGGTATTTTCATCTCAAATCGGGCAGGCTAAAAGGGTATAATTTTTAATTTTCACAAAAAAAAATGTTTTGGGGGTATTTCTCAAATGAAGAAGGGCGCAAACCGCATGTTCTCTCGATTTTTTTGTTCTCGAGTTACAAGCCGTAGAAGCCGCAGTGGCAGAAACTAGTGTTTTTGCCTGCCGTCGCAGGTCGCGTGTTTGACACCCTCTGCTGGCGCTATTGTTTTCTCTACACCCTTTTAACTTTTCCCCCTCATTTAATAGGTGTTATAAAGATATCTTGATGTATTCAAATATTTTTAGGAATTTTATTGTTTTCTAAAACATATGTCAAACTCGTCACTCCGGTCGCTTTTCGGTCAAATTTGACAGGCCATTACTTTGTCTGTACTTAAGTAAATTTTCTTTCTTAGGCTCTACAGAAAGCCCAAAACAAGCCCATTATAGACATAATAAAATGATTATGATCTGACGACTAGCCGCTCCGCTACCTTCACGTAAACGTTGTAAGAAATAACAAATGTTGAAAGTTTCAGGTTGATTTTCTAAAAAAAACTCCATTTTTGTAAATTTTTATTCTTTTAGACATATTAGTCGAATACAAGGTAAAAGAGTCTAGAAATGTAATATTTTGGTTGTATGTCCTCTGTTGAGCCCCAATCGTGTGAAATGTGTGAACATTTGTTATTTTTCACAACGTTTACGTGAAGGTAGCGGAGCGGCTACTCGTCAGATAATAATGATATTATTATATCTATAATGGGCTTGCTTTGGGCTTTCTGTAGAGCCAAAAAAAGAAAATTTACCTTAAGTACAGACAAAGTAATGACATGTCAAAGTTTACCAACAATCGACCTGAGTGACGAGTTTGACATTTCGTTTAGAAAACAATCAAACTATTAGAGATATTTGAATACGTGAAGGTATTTTTATATTACCTATTAAACGAGGAGGAAAAGTTAAAATTGAGTAGAAACAACACTAGCACCAGCAGAGGGTGTAAAACACGCGACCTGCGACGGCAGGCAAAAACACTAGTTTCTGCCACTGTGGCTTCTACGCTTCGTAACTCGAGAACAAAAAATCTGGGAAACATGCGGTTTGCGCTTTCATTCATTTGAGAAATGCCCCTAAAACATATATTTTTTTTCGTGAAAATTGAAAGCTGGACTCTTTCAGCCTGCCCGATATGTGAAATTTCATTTCAAATCGGGCAGACTAAAAAAAACATGATTTTTAATTTTCACGAAAAAAACATATGTTTTGGGGGCATTTATCAAATAAAGGAGGGCGCAAACTGCATGTTCCCCAGATTTTTTGTTCTTCAGTTACGAAGCGTAGAAGCCGCAGTGGCAGAAACTAGAGTTTTTGCCTGGCATCGGAGGTCGCGTGTTTGACACCCTCTGCTGGCGCTATTGTTTTCTCTACACCCTTTTAACTTTTCTCCCTCATTTAATAGGTATTATAAAGATATCTTGATGTATTCAAATAGTTTTAGGAATTTGATTGTTTTCTAAAAAACAAGTCAAACTCGTCACTCCGGTCGCTTTCCGGTCAAATTCGACAGGTCATTACTTTGTCTGTACTTAAGGTAAATTTTCTTTATTTGGCTCTACAGAAAGCTAAAAGCAAGCACATTATAGATATAATAATATCATTATTATCTGACGAGTAGCCGTTCCGCTACCTTCACGTAAACGTTGTGAAAAATAACAAATGTTCACACATTTCACGCGATTGCGGCTCAAACAGAGGACATACAACCAAAATATTACATTTCTAGACTCTTTTACCTTGTATTCGACTAATATGTCTAAAAGAATTTAAAAAATAAAAATTTACAAAAATGGGGTTTTTGAGAAAATCAACCTCAAACTTTCAACATTTGTTATTTCTTACAACGTTTACGTGAAGGTAGCGGAGCGGCTAGTCGACAGATCATAATCATTTTATTATATCTATAATGGGCTTGCTTTGGGCTTTCTGTAGAGCCAAAGAAAGAAAATTTACTTTAAGTACAGACAAAGTAATGACCTGTCAAATTTGACCGAAAAGTGACCGGAGTTACGAGTTTGACATGTGTTTTAGAAAACAATCAAATTCCTAAAAATACTTCAATACATCAAGGTATCTTTACAATACCTATTAAATGAGGGGAGAAAGTTAAAAGGGTGTAGAGAAAACAATAGCGTCAGCAGAGGGTGTCAAACACGCGACCTGCGACGGCAGGCAAAAACACTAGTCTCTGTCACCGCGGCTTCTACGGCCCGTAACTCTAGAACAAAAAATCGGGAGAACATGCGGTTTGCGCCCTCCTTCATTTGAGAAATACCCCCAAAACATGTATTTTTTTCGTGAAAATTAAAAATTAGACCCTTTTAGCCTGCCCGATTTGAGATGAAAACACCCATATATATGCTCTTGAACGATCAACCTCAGAATGAACGAAGGGTGCTTGCTTGCTTTCCTGACGTGGAAGTACGAAGTATAGAGCCCTTATATATCGCTTGTATTTCACGAGATTTTAGAATTGCTCGCGCGCCGCAGACCCAGCCTCGTATACCGTTGCTGCTGTTCATCCAGATGACGGCCATTTTGAAAGGAACGAGTGCGCCCCCTGTAGGCCGCGAAAGTTACGAATGGTGCCTGAAACGCGTCTCCGAAGTGGTTCCTCGATGTTCGCCCGATGACGTCACCGAAGCGTCGCCCTACCGCCGGCCGCGATCCTTGCGGCGTCACAGCGGTGGATCTGGCAGACGAACGTTCTGCTGAAGGTCGCTCTCCATCTTCACTGTGCGCGGAAGCTTCGGCAGTTAGAAGTTGGGACGCTGTGTCGATAGCAACACTCGCGTTTGCCGGTGCTTTTTTTTTTTCTCGAAACTTTTACGATTAATTATTAGGATCGCGACGCTTCCGACAGCGCGACACTCCGGCCTCTGTGACGTCATCTGTTGTCCCCTCGGGAACACTTTTGACGTATGGGCGGAATAGGACGCTAAACACACCGATCGGAAACGCGTTCCAGGCAAGGCCGTGCGTAGTGAAACGGAGCAGAAGAATACCGACGTTGATGATGATGATGAAGACCGTGTCATTGCCACGTTGAAGAACCTTGAGCCAGGCTCACTTTCGCGTGATCGGTCGTTACCTAAAGGTCGTGCTTGTGTAAGCAGATCGCATGTGTTGTGGCGGCACTCTCACCTTTCGGTGCACGGCGTGAGAAACGATGTCGATCGGAGGGTCGTACTTCAAACCTGCAGTGGGCGATCGTGTCCCTGGGAGCGAGAAACGCTAAATATAGACTTCATTCCTTGAACCGATAGGGTCCCTTTGACCAAACTAAATATGTAACCTTGCTGAAAAAAAAAGGCATTTCGGCATGTCCAAGCTCGTATTTCGATTACAGGTTAGTAAACGCCATGAAGGGAATTTGTTTCCCACTGTGGCGGGCATGGTAAGCTATTACATCTTAAAGAAGAGATACACAGTAAACGGATCCCAGTTGAAAATTCCCATTAGATTCCAGTTGGAAATTCATGGTACCAGCTGGGTTTTTCGGGCAACCAATTGGTCACTGCCAATGGAAATTCATTTGGAACCCATTCAGGTTCCAAGTGGAAAAATTATTCCAATTCCTGAGACCCATTGGGCAGTGTGCTTCCAATGGGAACCCACCACAACCAATTGGTTGTGGTGGGTTCCCACCACAACCAAATTAAAACCAGTTGGAATTCCAATTGGATTTCATGGGAATTTTCAGCTGGGATTATGCACAAAGCGAATTCCACAGGTATAGTTTCCTTTGAATTTGAATAAACGTATCGTTAGGTAGGGCGTGGGAACAATTTTGTAAAAAATGTGTGGTAGCTTAGTTCCTGCGACGACTGATACTCCCATTGAAAACCTTTAGAAGCAAACAGTTTAATAGAACACGAATATGAAGTGCTTCCTGATAGAATGTACCAAACACTCAATTTAATTTTTAAAAATTGAGTTTTACAGGTTTTTACGAAGTCTCAACTTCAGTCATGCTATTCATGTATCTATATGTAGCATGGATTATTTTGTACTGTTTTAAGACGGAGACAGCTGATTTTAAACTTGACTTCGCGGAGAGCTTAGACTTCGTCAGAACGCAGCCCCAGCCGTCCCAGCCAGATGCCAAAGTTTCAGCACCAACAGTTATCTTATTTGAAAGTTAGAAGCGATTTTCTGAAAAATTCAATGAAAACATTGCAGCCGATGAAGCTTTCGGATATATGGCGCTTTATGCCGTCAGAAACCGAAAACGGGCCCCATTTTCCCCATAGAAAATAAAAAAAAAAATTACTTAGACTTTTTAATAAGATAACGGTTGGTGCTGGAACTTTGGCATCTTGATTGAACGACTGGGGTTACGTTCCGACGGAGTTTGAGCTCTCCGCGAAGTCTAGTTAATTTTTGCGGAGCGAAAACCAGGGTTCGGATTCCTCAAACTTATTGACCGGAGCAATCTTGCCTCAAATTCGGATTGTTTTAGCGAACGAACCGTTAGGAACCATGACTCGAAAAGACTATGGTGTGTAGCTTCAAACATCTATCTGGTGGTATATTTTTCGCGTTATTTCTTGCTCGATATCTGTTGAAACCCCAAAATGAAAAGCCCTGATCTCGCGTCCGTTGTAACAGTGTCGCACAGTGTACTACGTCCGCACACTTGCGAAGGGCTGTTAACGTAAAACCAGAGTGTGGCAATGCCGAATACTTAACTAGGGAGAATACGCATATACCACTTCGCTCATTTACAGTAGACAGCGCGCTCACAGCGCCGAATCCTCCCCAAGCGGTGGGGAGGATTCGTCCCGCTTCCGAGAAAACGAATGCGCTCGCGCAGCCCACGCTGTCACGCTTGCTCGTTGCACCGAGGGAAAGGGCTGCCACCGACGCACCGAGACACCGGATTCGCCGAGGCTGCAGACGCGGTCGTGTCCGCCGTCTCGAAAGCTGTCCACGGCGATAGATGGCGCCAGCCACCCCATCAGTTCAAAGGGGGTAAAAAAAACCGGGGCTGTGCGCGTCTAGCCGTTTCCACCACGGAAAAACTCTCTGCACCAAATAAATGGGGTACTCGCGTATTATGGATCAATAAATAAATAAATATATGTAGCGGCTAAGTCCCCTGCAGCTGTGACACTTCAAATAGTCTCACAACACTCCAACAACTGCAGTAGTATTTTTTTTTTTTTTCGCACGCAAACTTTTAAAGAGGTCTATAAATTTTTTGACAAACAAGCTCAAAATTGTCTTCTCCAAAAGTGGGAATCTTCGCTGAAAAACCCGTTTTTTTTTCCGCTGCAAAAGCTGCTCCAAATCACCACTTGTCAGTTTCACCACTGCATACAGCTTCCTTCGATTTGCCTACATCTCCTGCACCAGTGCAGAAAAGTGTAGGGCACTGTACTTCCGGTATGTGTATTGGGGTACGACCAGAAGTACACCGCCCTACACTTTTATTGCACCGGTGCAGGACAGAGGAAGAGGGAAAATGCACATTCTCGCAACGCCTCCCACATAACAAGGCGGTCGATTTGGATTTTTTATGCCCTCTACTGAAATTCTCTAGTAGAAACTTTCCGTGTCCTTCAGTGGAGGACACAGTAGATATGTTGGCCAATATCTGCAGCTTACAGTGAGATGACGTATTATCCTTAATTTTTTTTTTTTGACACGTATACAGATTAAAGCGCTCTTAAAGGCGAAAGATGCGCTAACACGGATATACTAAAAGTTTGGTATAGTTGGGGATAACAGGCGAACGGCGAGATAACGAACGCTGTGACGTAGCACTTTTCGAACTGCTTATAGTGGCGCCTTCGTGGCGTTGACTCCTGACGCCGCCATCCGCGTTTAACCGCCTCTCCAGAGATGCTGAAAGCGGTTCCCGCTCGAGCGATACGAGACCACTACGACCACTGCGACCCGGAGTGCCTGTCCCTCAGGGAAGGGGACCTTGTGACGGTAAGGATGGATCAATTGTATAGAATATAGCACTCGTCGGCAACCCCACGGATAGCATTCTGGATAGCGTTGCGGCTACATCTTACGGAGAGGGGTTCCGTGTATCTGGCACATACCGGCACCGTACACCTTTCCTAAATGCGATGGCGTTTAGGAGCATCGAGACGTCTTTTTGGGGAGGAGTAGAGTGCCTGTATTACAGAGAGTTTTAAAGTGCTTGGTCACGTGGTTTTAGACTTAGGCTAGGTGGCACAAGCTACCGCCCGTTACAAGGGGCGGTAGCATCCATCCATGCATCCATCCATCCGGAACACGTTCGCAATACGAGCTGCGAAGTGGTGACGAAAGCGTTGATCGTCTGCAGGCGTCTCGGCCTTTCCGCCTACTTTCTTCCTCGCCACCCGAAAACGCAGAGCTTGCGCACTTGCAAGCAGTCTCCGCGTGGAGGCGCGTCCGGCACTCAATCGCAGATGCTCCCCGTGGTTTGAGATGGGCCCTCTCTCTAGGGGAGGGCCCATCTCAGACCACGGGCTCTAGGCTCTCTAGGGGAGGGGAACCGACCGTGGCACCCCTAGCGGATAGGTTGAGAACTAAGGCCACGGGCACAACAACAACATTTGTCCGTGTTTCTGACGCAGCGCTCATATTGACATAAACCGAAAGCTGAGGCAACTTTCTTTTCCAATCTGAACAGAGTCCACAGTTATTGTGTTGGGCAAACACCGAGCTGACCGAAGCTCTGTGGAAAACAGGCTAAACGAGGCGCCCCCTATGCGGAGTGCAAGTTCGTCTGCTTCCTGCACAGGGGTTGCTATGATGTAAGAATGCCAAGCTCTTATTGGTCGATTGAAAAAAAATATATATATACTGGGTAGACCTCAAGGCATCTAGCATTGAGGTCTACTGTCCTGCCAATCAAAGCCAATCAAAACTCGGCGTCGTTCTGGCGTCACCGCAACCCCTCCACAAGAAGCAGACGACTTGCTCTCCGCATAGCTGGATCTTCTCGCCAATGCGAAGCGCAAGTTCGTCTGCTTCTTGCTCAGGGGTTGCGGCGACGTCAGAATACCGAGCTCTGACTCTAATTGGAAGGATAGTGGGTAGACATCAGTGCTAGCTGCCTGGCTAGCTGTCTTGAGGTCTATCCACTATCCTTCCACTCAGAGCCAACTAAAGATTGGCGTTTGGGGGATCGGTGGCCGAGTGGTCTAGCGCACACCAGCTCGGAGCACGTGGAGCGAAAGCTCGCGCTGCAGAACCCAGGGATCCTGGGTTCGAGCCCCACCCCTGCCCGTTTCGATCTGGATGAGCATCGTACCGGCGTGCGGTCGTGTGTCACTACTGCGTGATGCACGTTAAAGACCCCAGGCTAGCGGCTGGTACCGCACTGGCTAAATTTCTCATCTACAGCTGGGAGACTCGTCGCCCCTGTGAGGCAGAAGTTCTAGGCTGTATAAACACACACACAACCCAATTTTTTGATTGGCGTTTCTATGTCCCCGCGCAGCCTCTGTGCCAGAAGCTGGTGAACCTGCAATCCGCAGCTTTGGCCCCACGTGCTCGAAAGTATGGTTACCTAAAAACCTCCCGCGTTTTCTTTTTTTTCTGTCGTTTATTTGTGTTGTTTTCTTGCCAGGTCCTGCACCAGTCCGAAGACGGCCGGTGGAAGGGCATCGTGTTTGGTCCCGGCCACAGCTCTAGGGCCGGCTACTTTCCGGCCACTGCCGTCCAGCTCGTCGACAGGCAAGGTCAGAACCCACGCAATTCTTAGCCTCCTTATAGCTATTTCATCACCGTGATATATAAAAATAAAATAATAATGCTATATTTACGGTAATAAAAGGTACGCTATAATTTTTTTTAATTTAAAGTTTACCTTTCCAGTGCTTATCACTCAGGCGAAAAATGCTGAGTCACTGCGCTGTGGACGCTTTTGCGGAGTCTGATATTTCTCTGAAGAGAGTTACTGCTTATGCTCAGGACTGGTTCTATACAGGCCGGTAGACATGGATGACCGCGCGCAGAGCCGTAAATGTAGAGAGTTTGGCCATTCGTTGGGAAGTATAGGAGACAAATGAGGAGGCGCCATTGGCCGAAAGCGGGCTGGGCGTGTTCCAGGGCGTCTTCAGAAATTTAAATGTGACCGACCAGAAGCCGGAAATAATACCCTGGCGGTGGTCGCGAGAAACAAACCTGATAACTGCATTGGAGTAACTCTCAATGGCTGAAAATATGGTACACGTGATGTTTCATTCACGTTAATCCAAAACGATGGTGGAAGAGTGCGACTAGCGGAACGATCGACATGATCCGTACGCCAAGCGCCGAGGGCCGGGAGTCTGCCGTCCGAGCGGTCACACTCTGTCCGCGCAAAACAGATGTGCGCGGCGCATTCGGCTCTTACATCTTTCTGCATGGTCATGATCAAAACAACACGTGCACCCTATTTTCAACCACGAAGAGTTACTACACTTCACTCTTACGCGTTTATTAAAACCATATACGAACATAGACTTTTGATCAGAACTGTTTGCCGCTACCACCGCTAGGGGATTCTTTTCGGCTTCTGGTTGGTCAAGAGAGCATGCCAAGCCCTCTTTCCGACTCTGCCGCACGCCCTGACTCTGCCCGCGCCTCCCATTGACCAAACTCTCTACATATACGGCTCTGACCGCGCGCAGAGTACGTGTCGTAATTCAAGATGGCGACGCCCGCGTAGAAAAGGTCTGTTCGTCACTCCAGCGGTGTGCATTTAATTAACAGATTTGTGTTGAAGCTTAGTCTATCCAGTATCTTTGGAACACTTTAGACCTGCGTATACAGAGTGTGTGGAGGTGAACAAAAACAAATAATGGGCGAACTCCCGAGGGCTGTGTTGGTTGGCATTGTTTTTCCTTGTTTCTGAGGACCTTGAGTGGGTAGCGGACGCTTTAGAAGTATCACCGCCGGCAACCAACTGCGGTACCTCTCGAAAAGCACAGGATATCACCAAAAAAAATTTACAGTTTTTATTTATTTATTTTTTTTTTTTTTTTTTTTTTTTTTTGCCGCAAAAATAAGCTAGGCATTGCGGAACGCTCATTCACCGCCCAAAGGTAGCGATAGAGGTCACAGCCAGATGCCAAAGTTTCAGCCCGATCCGATACCTTAATCAAACGTTTTAAGTGATTTTCTGAAAAGTTCAATGGGAAAATGGCGGCCGACGGAGTTTTCAAACACATGGGGCTCTACGGCAACAGAAACTGAAGACGGGCAAAAATGGGCTCCATTTTCCCATTTAAATTTTTAGAAAATCACTTATAATACTTTTGAACTTTGGCATCTGGTTGTGACCTCTAGCGCTACCTTTTGGCGGAGAATGAGCGTTCGGCAATGCCTAGTTTATTTTTGTGATAAAAAAACAAAACAAAAAAAAAACTGTCCTATTTTTTTTTTTGTTGTTGTTGTTTTGACGCCCTGTATTTATACGGGATCAACGTCCGTCCCTGTTCCCTTAGGTGAAAAGTAAGGAAGAACTCGAGGAAATGGCGGCAAATCTGCCGAAGGTATCGTGGGTGCATCTTCGGGGCTACCTCTTCGACTAGCCTGGTCCATATATACCCGAGAACGACTTAAAATCAGCAAATCCCTAATCGCGTTCAACTACTTCGTGAACGGCAAGGCATCGGCGGTGGGCACCTATCTCCCCCATGGCGCCGAAGACATGCGCCGAGCGATTCCCCGCAGGGGCCGCCGAGCCGGGCCTAGACTATACCTTCTGAAAGTTTTTATTACGCTTCCTTTAGCGCAACACGAGTATCTGTAATGGCTGTATAACACGTGAGCACACGACACTATAGGGTGTTTGCACATGACGTCAATCCGCCATTTTGTTGTTAGTTTGTTTTTCCAAACAAATTTACAAATTTAAAGGATTGCATCGCAACCGGTTGAAAAGATGTCAGCGTGGTAATACGTAAGCTTCTGTGCTCTACGCATTTGAGTAGTCATGTAAATCCTTGGAATGCTCGAGTTTGGCACACGCCAGACAGTTTACAACAACAAAATGTTGGATGAAATTACGTCAGTGAAAACACCCTATATGAGGTATTCACTGGACGCCATATTTGAGGGCGATGTTTAGAGCGCATGCTCAGAACGAGCTCACATTAATAGCCTGCTAAGACCGGCAACCTTGATTGTACTAAATGCACGGGGGGATCGGTGGCCGCGTGGGCTAGCGCACACCAGCCACGGAGCACGTGGAGCGAAAGCTCGCGCTGCAGAACCCAGGGATCCTGGGTTCGAGCCCCGTTTCGATCTGGATGAGCATCGTACCGGCGTGCGGTCGTGTATCACTACTACTGCGTGGTGCACTTTAAAGACCCCAGGCTAGCGGCTGTACCGCACTGGCTAAATTGCTCATCTACAGCTGGGAGACTCGTCGCCCCTGTGAGGCAGTCCAAGTTCTAGGCTGTATAAACATACCACACAACCCTTTTTTTTTTTTTTGTTTCTAAATGCACGCTTTAAAATGACTACGGAAGCTTGCCGTCAGCACGCGCTCAACAGCAGCGCACACGGATATGGCCGCCAGTGAAGAAAGCGTCGACGGGAGAGCTCGAGGCAGGAGAGCGCCACGACAGCAGAACGCCGCGACACGCGCACGACAGGCGAGCACTGCGACATGAGAGCGCGTGTCGTAAGAGCGCGCGTCACGAGAGCGCATGTGCGTGCCTTGGGAGTGATCGACATTGGGGTCTTCACTCACATGTTTTCACGGAGCTGAAATTTCGACACCAAATGGAGTCGCCTGGCGAACGCTTTATGCTATTTAATTGGCTGAGTACGCAAATTAAGCTGGGCGAAGTGACACAAGCGCGGTGAACGCAGCGGTCTGCAGTAACGCCATTTAAGGTAATTTCTTCGGGTTATCTATCCTAACACAATACTTTACCGCGAAATTGTTATCGCTGCCGCTGATAGAGTGCTACTTTTAAAATGTGTGACTATACTTTCGCTCTCGAGACAATTCTACCTGTCAGTTTTGTCCCCCAGGAACAAAAAAAAAAAAAAAAAAAAATCGAATCATATATCAATATAGGGGGGAAAAAAAAGATCGGTTTGGTGATAAACTTTTTTTGGAGATTAAACATTTTAGGTATTTACTGAGAGTAAGGATACAGGAGCCTGTGCGCGCAGGTGTTACATAAATGTTATTTCTGGCAAATGTCGGGAAAACATAAAATTCGTAACGCGCTAGAAATCAATCCCTTGGTTCCTATGATTAATGACGAAATATAAAGCTGCACTCCCATATCGTGCAGTGCAGGCTGTCGTGTAACAGACAATACAATGTATAACAACATAGACCTTTTCAAAAAAAGGCTCCTGGCCGGTTCCATTTTTGTTCGCGCGTATGGCGCGTGATTCGCTCGCTTTCTGAAGCGACGAACACGCGCCTGCATGCTGGGCCTAGGACTTGTGAATCGTGGAATGGTGTATTGAAGGGGATTCGATATACCTGAACGTTCTGCCACGGGGAAAGGCAGCTTAGTCACTGCAGCTGTTGTTCAGCGCTCTCGCGTCGCTCTCTATAGGGAGTGTTCCCTGGCGGCCATAGCTGTGTGGCGCGAATGCTGAGCGCATGCTGACGGCGAGCTTGCACAGTTCTTTTGCAACGTGCATCCCGCACCATCAAGAGTGCCAGTCTTCGCAGCCTATTGATGTGAGCTCGTTCTGAGCATGCGCTCTAAACAGCACCCACAAATATGGCGTCCAGTGAATACTCCCTATATGACGCGCTCTCGTGTCACGTGGTGCTCTCCTGTCCCCTCTGTAATGCACAATTTTCTACTGTTTTGACGTGGTTTTGACTTGTCTGCTTTGGTATTGAAGGTTGCTGTTCCTGATCACAGTGCGCAGTGCATTTGTACGGGCCGTAATGACTTATCGTTGTAGGAAGATGGTCGGTCGAGGCGGAGCCGCATTCTCGTACCGGTCGCCTTGCGCCATCTGTCGGCAGCATATCGAAGTAAGGCTAGCACCGTCGGCCGTCGACCGGCGATCACACAGACTCGGCGGCGTCACGGGTGTCCCTCGTCTCGATATAATCGAAATACCTTCACTCGTGACATTGGGAGCTTTCGCGGGATTATTCGCTAGTAATCCAGGAGTCTTTGATCTCGCGAATACTGAAAAAACTTCGGCGATCGGGTCGAAACCATGCTCGCACCATGTAACCATGCAGCCAGCGCGCTGATGCATCTCTTTGCAAAAATTAGGGATACTACAACGAAATTTCGGCGCTCATTTTTTGGTCTATATGTGTTCAAAGGAGCAGTATCACATCGAACATACCAATATCTTGTTAAAAAAAGTCTCGAAAAGGAAATTTAAAACGAATTAAACGATTAGCAAAGAGCACCTGATGGATGTCGCTAACGCCTCGTTTGCAATGCCCGTCTAGGAACCTTGACAGCTAGTGACGGAGGTTGTCTCGCCTCCGGCCACGACGAGAGAAGAGGGGCAGGAGGAACTCGCCTCTTGCCGAGAATGCCTTTTGTGCGTCGCAGAAGTCGCTATTGTCCCCCTACAAGATTACAGAAGATTAACTTGTCACTCAAAATTCGTACAAAAGCAGCCGGTTCGGTGGCTGGAACGACTAGGCCATCCTCTCGACGTCAGCCTCGCCGTAGCTTTGCTCGTCTTGAGACGACCTATGTCACTATTACGTTGGATGTCACGTGGTCTCCGCTGGGCCTTCTCC